TTCGTCTTTGGCAAAGAGTTTGATATCATCCATGTAGAGTAGGCGATTTTTTTTAGTTTGTATCCATAGTTATTACTGTTTAGTTTATGCAAAAGAGGGATTAAGACAAACAGAACAGAAGGGGTAACAAAGAATCTCCTTGAAAGATTCCTCATCAGATATTCAGACAACTGGAAGTGGTTGTACCTTTTGAGTGATTTTGGTATAATATGGTTTTCCACAGTTCCATACTATATTTAAGGAAATTTACTATCACCGAGGAGACATTGTACATTTCCAAAGCCTTAAAGATCTAAGTTTGTGGCATATTATCAAATGACTTACGGTAATCTATCCAAGCTATGATGAGATTTCTACCTTTTCTCCTGCAATTTTCCACTATCATTTTATTTATTTGTAGTTGATCTTTGCAACCATATGAACCTCTTCTACATCTATTCTCTTTCAGTAGAAGAATGTTGTTTTCATCGAGAAAAGAGTAAGTACAGTTCGTCAAGACAGATGTGATGAATTTATATGTGGTGTACAGACATGTTATTGGTCTATAATTGTTTGGATCATCTATTTCACCCGTTTTTGGTAGGAAATATGTAATACCTTCAGTGATCCATTGTGGAATTTCATTTCCACTCATGCCTCACTTCTGTTTGAGTTATGGTTAATTGTACTTTGCATTATATTTAATTCTTTCTTATTTATTTCTGTATTTGAGAGTTTTATTTATTTGGGTCGAAATAGGGTCTTTTTTTAGTTCCTACCATTTCTCACCATATTTGGTATGTTTGATCTGTGATGTTCTTTTGTATATTTTCGAGTGCAGTGAAGAAAGATGCCATGACTTGTTTATACTTTTCACGATCCCATTTCATTTGCTTTATTTTTATTATTTGATTTTGGCATTAAGTCACCAGGTCCAATGGTGGAGTTAATTCGGTTTTGGTGACCACGTGTCTCATTGTTGGCGGAAGAGTTTGTTCCAATGACAAATTTTTCGACCTCAGACTGGTTCCTCTCTGAGGGGCGTGGCCCTTGTTTATCCGGGTGACTACCGATCTGGTATAAGTTATTGTTTATAAACATTGAAAGTTGTATTTTTTTATTTTATCCTTAACAGCCAAGGGGTAATTTTATTCAAGATACCACCTCCAGGACGACTGTCGACCAAAACTAACGAGATCTCGTCCTGCCCATGAGACACAGCCATTCCGCACCGGATATCACACCGTTATTTCTAAGACACCGGAAGCTTTATTTATGCATTTATTTTTTATTATTCCTGTCATTGTATCATTATAATTATTATTTAATTGATTGTTTTGTTCTAAATAATATATGACATTCGTCGATCTCAAGAGACCATGGATCTACAGTCAAAAAGTTATACCTCAGCTACTGGTGGCATCACAGCATCTGTTATGGGTGTACAGGCCAAGATGGGAATGGCAGTCTCTCAGGAGTTGCCAGAACAAAGTTGAACATATTATTATTATTATTATTATTATTATATTTCCTCTGATTTCTGCTGTATTCTAATTTATTTCCGGGTCCTGACCAGAGACCTAAGGTCAGAAATGGAGTCATAATTTTTTTCCAATGAGTAGTTTTGAAAAGAAATCATACATATTTTACATAGATAAAGCGATGCCAAATTGTTTCTAATCCATAAGTTAAAAAAAACCTCCCTTTTATTGTTTATTTTCTATAAAAATAACAAAAACCAGATCAGCTGAAAACTTCCAACACCAATAACAGTAAAACTGGGTAGCACATATAACAACAAAGAGAAAATAATGACATTATCAACATGTCGACTTTTCAAACAGCTAAAAACAAACGGTTTAAAAGGAAACTTCTATCAGTAGTAGAAAGTGCGAAACATTTGTTAAATCTGTGGAAGTTTTTCATTTTTCTTACTTAAATCAGGTACAAAAATCTGGGTTCCAGTTAGAAAATTGGTCAAATAAGACTTGATCCTTATGGATAAGTCTTCTATACGCTCCCTACCCTGATATTGGGCACTTGTCTGCCATAAATATCATCTTAAAAACTAAAATGAAAATACTTTATTTTTTACATTATTCGGACTATTGTCCTCATCTTTGTCGCTATATTTATTACAACGTTTCGGCCGTTTTACGCTTCTTCAGGTGGTTGGAATGTCGAATTGAGTGTTGTTGTCCTCCTCTTGTATCCGCCTATCCCTTTATTTCGCTCACTGGGGTAGACTGTTCTAATTCCACGTGCCATGTTTAATGGATGTCAGTTATCAGTTATCGCCTGTTAATTTCCCTCTGAAGGTTTTCCACTGCCTTAACCGGGTATTTAACTCACACTCTTTGGGCCCTGTCATTGGATTTAACCAACGCCTTTATCCACTGTCAGTATGCCATATCCATTGTGCCATGTGTCCTTGAGGACATCTGTGTATGAATTTCTGGGTATTATAAACCTTATGTCTTCAGCAACCATTTTTACCAGTGCTCATTTTTTTTTTTGCTGTTATCATTGCATATTTTTTATCAGTGCTCATATTGCAATTTTTGTTGTTATTATTGCTTTTCTCTGGAACTCCTTATTACTGGTTTCCATATTGTATTCATTTCTATGCTTGGTCGGCTCAGGAGATTTTTGTGGCCTAGCATATGTGCTGATTCCTTAAGTTTACGAATTTTCCAATGGTCTTCCTTGTCTAAGATCTCAACCTGATCCCACAGAGGGCAGTGATCTCCCTTCTCTCTCCATATGTGGTCAGCCACACCTGATTTTTCCACTTCTCCTCGTGTTACAGCTTTCTGGTGTTCTTGTAGCCTTACCTTAAGGAGGCGGCCTGTCTCCTCTTTATATTTCTTTCCTCGGCTGCATGGGATAGCGTACAATCTTTAGTCATGGGGGGTCTTATTCGGGAGAGATATCTGCGAAGTGTCGTCAAGCTTTTAAAGGTTTTCCTGATGTTATATGGACCGCAGATCCTTTGTATTTTCTCTGATAACCCCCTCACATAAGGCAGGCAGACTGTTTTCTGAGTGTTGTTGTCCTCCTCTTGTATCCGCCTCTCCCAGTTTTTTGGGGCTGCTGCCATGTACCCAGAGTAGTTGTTACGTTGTAGAGTACTACTTATACTGACAAATTCTTTATCTAATATCTCTGGGTCGACACTTATGACTTTTGCTCGGTGTTGTAAGCAGCGGCCGATCACTTTCTTTACACTGTATGGATGGCGGGGGTTGAAATTGAGGTACTCTCCGGTGAATGTCGGTTTACGGTATATGGATGTCTTGAACCCATGCTCTGTTCGAGATATTAGAACATCCAGGAATGGGAGTGTGTTGTTACTCTCTTTCTGTATCGAAGGTTTTATTGAGTTCACATAGTCCAGTAGAACCTGAATATCTTCCTGGTGTGGCCAGAGTATGAAGGTGTCATATACGTACCTTAACCATATAGTTGGCTTTAGAGATATAGATTCTAATGCCATTTCCTCAAAGTATTCCATGTATATGTTCGCCACTGCTGGTGATAATGGCGAGCCCATTGCTAAGCCCTCATCCTGTCGATATATGTGTGATCCCATTCCGAAGTGTGTTGTTTGTGTACAGAAAGTCAACATCTCCATCAGATTATCTATTGGAATACTGGTCCGTTCTTCTAGGGAAGAGTCAGAGGTCAATCTGTCTCTGACTACTGAGAGTGCCTCCTCCGTGGGTACCTTGGTGAACAAACTCACCACGTACAAGCTAAGCATCTGGATGGATAGGATAGGAGCATCTTTGATTATTTCCACGAAGTGGGCGGAGTTTCGGACATATGAAGGAGACTTTTCGATCAATGGGTCAATTATATCTACAAGGAAGCGATTCAGAGGGTGGCACAAAGAGTCTTGGCAACTAACAATCGGCCTGAGCGGAATACCATCTTTGTGAATCTTAGGGAGATCGTATATGTGAGGTAGCGTGGTGTAACGCTTCGATAACTGCCTATACGTCTTAGGTGCGAAGTGGTCGTTGTTCTTGATTAGTATCTGTGACAGTTTGCGTTCTGTTTTCATTGTAGGATCCTTTTTTACGTTGATGTAGCTACCAGCTTTTTTGTATAATCTGATTTGTCCATCACTACAGTTGCATTACCTTTGTCAGCCGGTAGTATGATGATGAACCCAGGCCGCCGAAAATTGTGCTTGCACGAAGTCACAAGTCATCGTGGACGAGGACTGACCTTGTTCAAATTGTTGATCACGCGAGATATCACACTTTTCCCATCTGCAATAGGGACTGGCTTGCCACCATAGTAGACGGGTATCCTCGAATACGAGTGGGCAGCTATACTATATAAATATAAAATATAGCATTTAAAATATAAATTATAATATAATATAAATAAATTATATAAATCGTAAACCAGTGGGACTAAGTACTTTTCATTTACCTTAGAATATATTCTAAAACTTATTTCCTTAAAATGCCTCTGAAATTCTTACAAAGTTCTCAATCACACTAAAGCATGGGCTCGTTTTGCCTGCTAGAATCATAGCCTGTATTAATGACGCCATTTTAGGGGCTGGCTTGGATCATTTTGGCTCTTAATCCACCTCTGGAACTGCTATTCGACGAGTGAAATGTGAAGTTTTGATAAATAAAATGGCCATATGTCTAACTTAGCTACAAATATCTGTATTAGCGACTTTAATTTTAAATATCTTTATCAGACACTTTAATTTTTCTCGAAGTATTAATTGTGAGCGTTCAAAAAAGAAAAGATTTAATTTTAATTTTTATGAAAAAAGTTTTAATTCTGTCAGAATTAAATTTTAGTTGTCAAGATTTTAATTTCGTGTTTTGTTTAAATTGGATTTTCATTTTTTTTGTTTTGTTTTTGTGGAGGCGGATATTTTCGTTTGCACACAGCTTGTGTCATTGACTTCTTAAAACGATTTAAATAAATGAACATTTCTGCCAAAGTTGTAGAATATTCGCGCACATTTAATCTCCTCGACTGAAAATAAAATGCTTCTGGTCATAACTCAACGTACCTCACTAAAAAACAGAATTCGGTTAGGAATCATTTTTCCATTCTGTCGCTGTCAGAGCTCGTTACCGTTTCCATATTTAATGGAAACATTATTGTTGAGCATGTGAAGATTTTTATTTCACTCGATTAAATCTACGGTAATTTGTTTCAAGAATGGATTATGACTTGAAGAAAGTCTTCCTCCTCGGACGCATTACGACAACTACTACTACAAGTACTACTACTACTCTACTACAATTATTACTAAAAAATAATAATAATAATTTGCGCCTAAATTATTATATGGCCTATCATCAGCATTTGGCCCCTATGTAGCAAGTGTGGACATGAATTCGATGAGAAATGTTACTGCTGCAATCCAGAGAAGACGATAAAAAACAACGAAGTCAAGATTTCAAGCGCAGTACAATATTAACCACCATTTTAGGTGCCGCCATTTTATATTTTGATATTTGAAATGGCTAGATATAACGGTTAAGTTCTATGCTAACTGTTTCTTCACTCGCATTTCTCGCTCGTGGAACATCTCGCTTTCCAATCAACATACCTTCAAAGGTTTAAATGCAATGTCAATCGTTATCGTCTGTCCTCTCTCCTTAATAATGTCTTTTTTTCTCATATTCTCTCACACTCAATAACCTCTGAGAGGTTTACTCTAACTTACTCTACTTAATCCTTTTCTCTTTCTCCCACTCTCTTATGCCGTATTTCTCTTTTAATTGCTATCATTCTCTCTTCTTCTTTCTTTGCATTTACCTTCCCACTCCTCTCTAATCTTTCCTATTTTACATTAAAACGTCCTACCAGACAACTCTTCTTATACCTCTCCCAATTTATCCCACTCTTTTAGTCTCTCTCTCCCTTTCTATCTCTACTTCACACTGTTATCTCGCTTTCTACCCACTTTATCATTCTTCCTTTCTCTGTATTTACCTGCCACCCTACTCTCTCAATCTTTTCCTTTTTATTTCACGTGCTGACACTCTTCTTTTCGTATTCCTCACTTTCTCTTCCTCCCACTTTCTTATTCTCTCTTTCTCTGTCTCCTTCTACCACCCTCTTATTCCGTTTAGTTCTAATTTCGTTTACTTTTCCTTTCTTTGTATTTACTTCCCCCCCCCCACATTTTTCTTTATTCTTATCTTTTTTTCTAGTTTCCATTTCGCCTCCTCACAGGATTTTCTCCTTAATTCCTCTCATTGTTTCTCTCTCGGTTACTTACATTCTTATCCTTACTCACTCTCAGCTATCCCCCTCATCTGCTCCTTCACTTGCTTTCCTTATGCCTTACACCCACCCTCTCATTCTCTCTCATGATGGCGCTAATAATTGTCTTTCTCTTTCTAGCCTGTTCAGTTTCTTAAACATTTTCCTCGCTTTACTTGTACTTTTTCCTTTTATGTCTCTTTTTTTCTCTCTCCCTCTTCTATTTCTCTCTCTCTCTCTTCAGTATTTCTCTTTCTCTCTATTAACCCTATTTCTATTTTCTCTCTCTCTCTCTCTCTCTTCTCTTTCCTTTCCGGTTTCCCCCCTTCTTCATCCACTCTTCACCATTTCTCGCCATATCTTACATCTCAACACGGTCGAATCACTACCCGAAGCAATGTTTAGAGGCCATGCTTTTTATGTCAATAAGTGTCATGTGCAATTACTTTCGCATCATAAATTCCATTTAACATAATGCATCGCGTGCCACGAAATAAAATAAGTGTTTCTCATTGATTACCCTACAAAAACAGATTGCAGAACTGAGAACTATAGACAAATAGAAAAAAAATGATGGCAGAAAAACAAGAACATTAGACTGATTGATGATGAATAATTAACTAAAAAATATTCTTTCTATAAAATTATTTGGAATAAAACATTGAAGCAATAAAAGATGAAAAAGAAATAAAATCGATTGTGAAAACAAACAGAAAAACTTAAAAAGCTATGTGCAGTTTTGAAACCCGACAAATTCATAAAAATCAACAGTGAAAGCTAAAGTGAAATTGAAAGTAGAAAGTAATTTATCAATGAGCTATTCATAGTTACTGAGTGGCGGGAAAAGACGATCCCTTAAGAAGATGAGCTAACTAATAGTTGATTAAAGTAAAGTAGTACGCTTAGAAATAATAGATTTTAGTTAAGATATTACAATTAGTGAAGGTTACACGCCAAACACACTTTAAAAATCTGTTATAATTCTGTCTTAAACATGAAAACAAAATAGTAACAGGTAAGATGTGATTTCATACTGACATGAGTTTTCATGGATTTGTATTAGGAAAAATTGCGCATTTACTGGGCCAACATATATGATTATTCTGCGATCAGTTTCAAAGTCTTTCAAATTCTCTTTGATGAACGCAATGATGTCATTGATCTTTTGTATTCGATCTTGTATTCGTGCCTAAGATTTCATACAATCTCAGCACCTGTTGTAAAACGATTGTCAATGATTTTGTCTCTTAATCCAGGTCTCATCACCTCCAGTATTGTCAGTTTTAATCAGAATAAGTTAGATTGAGGTAAAAAAATTGCAGACGGATTGTCCTGAGTATGATAATAATCTACATCCGGCAGCAAGGCCTCTGATTGGGAGGTTTTAAAGAGCATGGAACCACATCTTAATTGTTATTGTTCCCTGCTTCACCTTGACCTGCGGTGGTAGCACCTGTTAGGGCCCCAACCATCGGCAAATAGTTCCCTCCAAAACTGAATTCGACAAAGCATGAAAATGTAAAAATACATTAGAAAAATTACAACAGTATATTTTCATAGTAAAAGAATAAAAAATTAACCATCAATATTTTTTTTTGGAAAAAACATACCAAAGCTCCCAAGAAAATAAAATTCCGGCATTAAATGACCCATAAGGAATTGATATGCCGTTAAACAAGCAAACCAAACCAAACCAAACCAAAATCAGACAGACAGACACATTATCGTATTATTCTTACATACAGTTTTGTCTTTCATTCTAACCCCAAGTAGCCGAAAGCAACAGTCATCCTTAGCAAAACGAAACATAATATTGACAATAAATCTATTGACATATGTTACCAAAATCAAATGCAACACAATTATTAAAAAAGAACCAGCAATGTCAAAATCTTCATAGATAGATATATAAAACCAGAAATTAAAAATAAATACATTAGATTCATTATTTACTACAGAAAAATCAAAATCACCAACTTGATTATTAAAAATAATGTCCCAAACTTACAACCCTCCTATATAAGATCAATGTTGTGTATGAATACTGTATACTTGCCCACTTGGCGAATGTTTCTCTGTAAATAAAAAATACAAAATGTTTTACATAGGATATGCCACAACCACACCCTCACGAAGACTCACCTGTCAGCGGTCGGACCAGAGTGTCACCAGACAACACATTAATTAGCAGCAGGAAGATCCTGCTAACATCAGAAAGCTACTCACAAATAATAGCAAAATACTAGTAAGATCAAATAGTAAAAACAGATTTATGATCCTTGAAGCAATACTCATACTCACATATCAATAAATAAAAACTATTAGTCCGCATCCTCTAAATGTATATAATATAAACACACACACCTCACTTACGTCATAACTCTCTCTGCCTACATCACAACACTCACACTTTCTATGAAAGTCGCCATTTATCTCTACCTGCCATTAAGAAAGTCGAAAGCATGGACCATATCTCTTGTACTTTTCTTCTGAAGTGTAATTCGGACAATTTCTGACGGAATTTCCTCGTCTGACAAAGATTATTCGTAATTTTGAAAAGTTGATCAGTAAAATTAAGTAAATGTAAGTTTTCTTTAATAATATCTGCCTTAAAGAACATTTACTACCTAAATACGCAGTATATATAAATATATATATATATATATATATATATATATATATATATATATATATATATATATATATATATAGTCATCCACAGAAATACTGTTTCGCATCTAATCAGTGTGGCCAGACACCTGATTACTTCAAGCCGGGATCGAAACAAAACAAGGACAAAAGTCTATATAAACATGTGTCCGCAAATACTTATTTTTTACTTATTAAGTTTAAAGATACTTTGTGGTAGAGGGCTCTGTGTTGCCAAGTAGACTAGGCTGCATTTGCCATTCGTGTATATTTGGGGCTAGTCTGTCTTCAAAGTTTAACGCGTGTAGTAGTGAGTTAACTAAGAAGTGTTCCGTTTAACAATGGCGGGATATTCCTATCATAGGCAGGTAGATATGATTTTTACATACGGTCGCGGCAATGGTAATAGACACGAGGCTACACGGTTGAATCAGATGGCGTTTCCAGACCGAAGGCAGCCAAGTATATCCAACCTTTGCTGCTATTTATCCGTGGCACCAAAATGTATGGATCGAAGAATACTGAGAACGCTCGTACGTCTGACCACAAAGAACACATTCTACGGGATCTCGGAGTTGATCCAGGTATCCACACACATCAATTGGCCCTAACATCTCTTGCATCTCATAGTACTCCTTGGAGGGTGCTTCAAGAGCAACTCCTGTATTCGTAACATTTGCAAAATGCGCAGGGTCTTTCGACCTCTGATCACACACCATGGAAAAGCTTTTGCCAATGGTTTGTTGCAGAAACTGCCGATCCGTTTTTTCTCTTCAGTCTTATCTATGGATGAGGCAACATTTGGGAGAGATGGAATAACGAATTTACACAACCAATATTTGTGGGCGGATCAGAATCCCTATGGTGCAATACAGGCTAGACACCAACATCAGTTTACGATTTAATTTGTGGGATGGATACGTGTCGTGTGAGCCTGCGAAAACATTCAACACCATGTAGGAGTATTTGAAACGGTCCACCAGTCAATTACCCGACGGGTGCATGCGTGTGTAGAAGCAAGCGGAGGATATTTTGATCATTTTTTATGAGTTGCTGTGTAGCGGTACAAAGATGATCGAAAAGTGGAATATAGGTGTAAAAATAGGAAAAGAAAAATCACTTGGTCAACTCAACCCCTTCTGCAAAATGTCAAGTATCAATATCGGACGGTACTTTCTAAATTAAATTACTAAACACTAAACAAAAATACTAAATACTATACAAAAAAATTCTCTAAATAAGATATTCAACAGGAAGTCAATCAAAATTTGCTACTCCTGCACTGATAATATGTACCAAATTATTAATTCCCATAACAATTACATTTTAAGTAAATTCCATGGGGAAAAAACTAAATATACATGGAAACACCCTGTAATTGTAGAATTAAGGAAAACTGCTCAGTAGAGGGCAAATGCAAATCTACTAGAGTAGTATACCAAGCAACCATTACCCCTAAAGAAAAAACGACAAACCATAATATTTACATCGGCATTTCTGCAGGTGAATTTAAAAAGAGAATCAATACACATCGACACTCATTCACCAATCCAAAATTAAAACACCAAACATCCCTTTCGAAAAAAATTTGGGAATTAAAGGAAAAGGATCTGAATTCTCAAATAAATTGAAAAATTCTGTTTCTCGAACACCCCCAATAATTTTAGGCATAGGTGCAAGCTATGTTTAGAAGAAGAAAAAAACAGAATAATTAAATATAAAGATCAATGCAAATTATTAAATCAACGGAGAGAACTAATCACTAAATGTAGACATAGGAACAGATTCAAAATTACAAAAGAATACATGTGTATATATATGTAGGGTTATATGTGTGCGTATAGTGTCATATATGTATGTACATGTAAATGTACTTATATGTATGTGTGAAGATATGTACGCATATATCAGTGTGTTGGACAGCATGATTTCTTCCATTGGGTGCTCAGATATTTCCCACAATCTATAGCTCTGTCATTCAACTAATTTACGTTAATCTTAACGGGTTTAAGATTAAATCCGCAATCACTTGGACCCTTGTAGAATAAAGACTATTTACTGTGAATCCCAGGAAAACACACTTGGGGCTTGTATAGGAAACGCCACATAGTAGGAACAGAGATTTAGCAACACACAGTGAAAGGCTCTAGCCATAAATAAACTCCAACCCCAGACCGCTGCCCCGGAATAAGATACTTTAACCCCGCCACCAGTTGCTAACACAACCTCCTACTCATTAACAAGGCGTCTACCAGAGGAGGACAGACATTGAAAATAAATTTAAAACAATGCTTCGAGGCAGACACTTAGGGGCTGATGATAACTGCATACAGACTAACTTGAAATAGACTATCCCCATGTTGAGGTAATTTTCGTTTTTTGTTTTTTTTTTTTTTGCTGTAAAAAAAGTACATATGCTCTGTTATAATAAATACATCGAACGCTCTGTGGATCAGTTTTAATAATTAATATTATCAGGATCCACCCGGATTATATACCATCGGATCGAGTACCTGTACTATATCTATATATATATATATATATATATATATATATATATATATATATATAGTGTGTCTAAAAATGTACTGACTTTTTTACTTCTAGTCAGTTTATTTACAAATATGCATTTAATTTCATTTAATATTTGTCGAGATTATGTTTTTAACCATCTTAGTTCATTTACAAGGAAAGAAGGTAGACGAGGGAGTAGCTATGTGAACTTTATCTTGATAACGATCCATACTCTGAAATGTTGTGACCATGGAATAGATTTTAGCGTCGCCTGGCTGAAAGGGCCTTACAGTTGAAAGGCATTTCAATAAG